AACCACAAATGTAGAACATTGCTTCAAATAGATGTTCTTCATAGCCTAAGAAAGTAGGGTTGGGGATGTCTCCTCATTATCAAGATTTAATTTTACAGGTTTTACATTTTTAAATTTGTTTGTATCCATTTCACCAATGAGGAAATAGACATCCAGAGAAGTTATTAATTTGTTTAGCAGTTCCCAGAGTACGAAGAGTATAAAAAGCTGAGCAGGCACGTGGTACTTGGGAGTGTGGACTCTAAAGACACATTGCATGTGTTCACATCCTGGCTCCATCACCCCCGAGTGACTGTGGGCAAGTCCAATGGCCACTCTATGCCTTGGCTTCCTTGGCTATAAAACGCAGATGAGAATACTGAGCTCATATCATCACTTTACATTCTAAGTGAGATAATGCATCAAGAGCACTCAAAACAGTGTCTGGTGCATAGTAAGCTCTTAAAAGCTTTAGCCGTGTATAAAAATCACCTGGAAAGCTCACTAAAGATTAAGATATCGAAGAACCTCCTCCAAAGATCCTGATTCACTAGATCTGGGCAAGAACTTAGGAATCTGCATTTTAATAAACACTGACAGTGAGTTGGAAAACCATTATTAGTGCAGCCAGATGTACCTAATTCCAAAGTTAATGTTGACTCGACAGGAAGCAATTTCTTCAGTCCCTTTCCATTTTGTATTGCTATTCCTATGATTTTCCAAAGGGGCCAGGTGTTACTTCAATCTCACACCTTCCTAAGTAACATCTCTCCTACATTGCTTTGAAAATAATCACTTTTTTTGCCTCTTAGACACTCTTTTAAGTTACAATATTTTCCATGATGTTGTTCTTCATTTTTAGAGTCCCATGACTAATAAGTCTTCATTTTTAGAAGGCCACGACCAGGCCTTCATGTCCTTCCATTGCGTAGCATCAAGGACTTAACTCGTGTCCTCTCTAGGCTATAACCCGGTCTCCAAAGCCAAGCCCGTGTGATCAGAAACAGCTGAGTGTTCAGGGATAGCTGTGTTTCCAGGCCAACCCTAATTTGGTTTTCTTGTTTCCACCCCCAAACCAGGAGGCCTGCAAGCCCCACATATCAAACAATTCGTTTGTGGAATTGGCTGTTACTACAGGGAGATAACTGAGCTGCCTCCTGAAACATGAGGTTCTTAAACCAATTGGGTATCATATATACCCAGTGCTTTCTGGAAAAGTAAAGTGTACAACTCTATTTTCACCATGTTGGTTTGCAAAATAGACCTCAGAAACCAAAAGCAAACACTCAACATTCCAATCCAGCTCCATCGTCTTCCATGATAGGAGCAGTGAAGTCACATTTGATTGGGGTTTTAGTTGCTCTCCAGGAATGATGAACTCAGCTTGATAACAGATGTTCTAAGAAGCAAACAAAAGCTACCAAGCAAATATTTTTTTCTGGTATCACTGCAGCTTTTCCAAAATGACCAAGTGATCTGACAATAGAAAGAATAGAGTGATTCCGTATTGCAAGCCAGATACTTCCTTTGAATGAAGCTCTTTGAAGCACTAAGTAGTTCAATAAACAGTCTTTTTCAAAATTCTTAATAAATTTACAAACAAAGAAACACTATGGAAGATGTCAGAACAGCAAACAGACTCAAATGTGCTGTAGATGGGATAACTGGAAAATAAGAATTCATTCATCTTTTCTCGAATTTCTAATAAATTCAATTGCATTTACATATTGGAAGACTTGTACTTTTTTCTATCAGTAAAAATACTCCAAATGTTTCATGATCTCCTGCTCAAAGAACCTAGAGTATGCTCAAGTACTTTGTGTTAAACAGTTGCACGGTGAAGTTTTTTCTCTATCATTTCAGTAAATCCAGCCATTGCACCTGCTCACAGGTTGAAGAGAGAAATCAATAAGTGAGGCTTGTTTCCCAAGGGCCCTTCCCCTCCTCACCCGTTAAACTCAACAGCTGTGCTGGGCGCGGTGGCTCACACCTGTAATCCCAGCACTTTGGGAGGCCGAGGCAGGAGGCCGAGGCAGGATCGCCATGAGGTCAGGAGATCAAGACCATCCTGGCTAACACAGTGAAACCCCATCTCTACTAAAAATACAACAGATTAGCCAATCATGTTGGCACGTACCTTTAGTCTCAGCTACTCAGGAGACTGAGGCAGGAGAATCACCTGGACCCAGGAGGTGGAGGTTGCAGTGAGCCGAGATCGTGCCACTGCCTTCCAGCCTGGGTGACAGAGCTAGACTCCATCTCAAAAAAAAAAAAACCCAATAGCTGAGGTATCATCATCCTGTGCTGAGCTATTCTATCAAAGAAAGAATGGAAAGTTATTAAAAAGTGGTAAATATGAAGGTTAGGAAGATATGTAAACAAGGATACATAAGATAATGGGAAATGAGGAAAAGCAGAATAAGAAAATGAATACTTGGCCGGGCGCGGTGGCTCACGCCTGTAATCCCAGCACTGTGGGAGGCCAAGGCGGGTGGATCACAAGGTCAAGAGATCGAGACCATCCTGGTCAACATGGTGAAACCCCGTCTCTACTAAAACCACAAAAAATTAGCTGGGCATGGTGGCGCGTGCCTGTAATCCCAGCTACTCAGGAGGCTGAGGCAGGAGAATTGCCTGAACCCAGGAGGCGGAGGTTGCGGGAGCCGAGATCGCGCCATTGCACTCCAGCCTGGGTAACATGAGTGAAACTCCGTCTCAAAAAAAAAAAAAAAAGAAAACGAATACTTACTGATTAAAACTATGTTAAAAGCCATACAGCCTGCACAATTACTGTCAAGAGACCACAGTTTGTTCTTAAGCTGTTGGTTAGAATATGATCTGCAGCCGAAAAAAAAAAATTAACACAAACACACACACATAGATAGATAGATAGATAGACAGATAGACAGATAGATAGATAGATAGATAGATGATAGATAGATAGATGAACCATTGGTTCATTCTTAGGAATCTGACCAGTAAAAGCAAGAGTATCCGTATATATAGATATAATGATAAATAAACACACATACCAAATATACATATACATATTATATATCACATTCCTTTTTTTTTTTTGAGACAGAGTCTCACTGTTTCACCCAGGATGGAGTGCAATGGCACAGCTCACTGCAACCTCCACCCCCCACCCCGGGTTCGAGCAATTCTCCTGCCTCAGCCTCCCGAGTAGCTGGGATTTCAGGCACACACCACCACACTTGCTAATTTTTGTAGTTTTAGTAGAGACAGGGTTTCACCATGTTGGCCAGGATGGTCTCCATCTTTTGACCTCATGATCCTGGGCATGCCAAAGTGCTGGGATTACAGGCATGAGCCACCGCACCCAGCCTATATACTACATTCCCATTTTCCATAAGGAAAGTGCCAAAGAACACATACATGGCTGTTTCTTCGAGGTGGGATTGGGGGCAGAGAGTGTTAATTAACCTTTGTCACAGCCTTCAGTGGTACAAAAACCTGCCACTCCGGGTCCTCTCATTTGAAGACACCCACTGCCTGAGGAGAAAGAAAAGCTGCTTATTGTGGATCTGAGGCTGATTTCCCAGCTCCCAGAAACACCCTTCCCACAGCCTGTTCCCCAGACCTAGGCTTGTCTCCTCATGTCTGGTCCCAAGTCAAAACCAGCTGTTCTTATTTTAGAAGACAGTACTACTATTTCCCTTGCCTCATATTATCAGTGATCTAGGTTGTCTGATGCTCCTCGGGGGACAGCCACCAAACCACCAAAGGGCAGCTCACAAGCAAAATTCTTTCATGATGCTTCACCATGTTTTTCTCTTTTTTGAGATAAGATCTCGTTCTGTCGCCCAGGCTGGAATGCAGTAGGGCAGTCACAGCTCACTGCAGCCTCAGACTCCTAGGCTGACAGGATCCTGGCACCTCAGCCTCCTGAGTAGCTGGAACTACAGGTGTGCACCACCATACCCAGCTAATTTTTTTATTTTTTTGCAGAAACGGGGTCTCCCTATGTTGCCCAGGCTGGTCTTGAGCTCCTGGCCTCAAGGCATTCTCTTGCCTTGGCCTCCCAAAGTGCTAGGATTACAGGTGTGAGTCATGGCACCCGGCCACCTCACCATTTTTGCTGACTGAATCACTTGACTAACCTAACTATAGCTTGCTGTTGAAGATGCTGGCAACCTAGTAGACAATAATACATCAAGATGCAATGATGCTCCATAGTAATGTAATACCTTCCATCCAGCCAAAGTAAAAGTGTCAAGTAAATGCTAATGTCTCTGCCAACCACAGACAGGGTTTGCAGGAGCAATGGCTATAGGGACACTAAGATTTCACCCTCCAGAAGACAGTATCTTCCTGTGTCATGGCTAGATCACCAGCTACCCACAGATAGCCTGAACTCCAATTGTCTTCCTGCACATGTGCCTTTAAAAGTTTTACTGGCATTATTGCTTTTTTACTTCTGGTAATTGCTTTAAAAGAACAAAGCTCTTTGTTTAAGGGGGGCCCAGGGATCTCATAATTGCCACGAGGCACATGAGATGTTCCTAGACTTTCTAAACAGTTTCTCTTTTAACATTAAATATTAAGTTCCTAATGTTTGGCCAAAATGTAGATGTTCCCTGGGGAGGAGGTGATGATATCAGGAAGATCAGATTGTATAGACTGGTAAGAGATCCCTCCCACATTGCTGACTTCAGAACCACAAAAAGTGCACCTGAGGAGGGGTGCCGGCCACCCTGCACCCATGCAACCACCATGTCTTGTCAGAAACAGGGCACACTCTGGCCCCAGCTGCACCAGGGGCTTCAGGCTCATTAATACTATTTCTATATTAAAATAAGTGATGATGTATCTGTTCACCTGCCATGAATCACATCAAGTCAATTCTTAAATGAGTGTTTCCAGAATCTTTAGGGGCTCCAATCCAGCCTGTGCAGGTGCTCACTGACTTAAAACCCTTCTTTTCCCATGTATATATTTCCCCAGAATTTTTCAGCTGTAACTAACAGTAATTTCAGTGACATTAAATACTGTTACAGGAACTTTTGAAATGCAGAGGAGCCTTTGGAATAAAGCCTTGAGCATGAGGGGCAGACCCCTGCATCCAAACACCACCTGACTCTGTGTGAACCAGGAGCTGTTAGGTGACCCCATTGGCTTGAGTGGATGACCCAGGATTGCACAAGGGGAGACTGGGGGAAAATATGGCCTTTCCCTTTCCTGGGGAAGACAAGTTTTTAAAATGACAATGTCCTATTTTCACAGAATGTCTGTGCTATGTTAAAGGTCATCTGCCTACAATTTAATGATACAGACCTCAAACTTATAAACATGAGGGACTTCTGCCTCTAGGTTAACTGGTTTCCCACGGTACAGGACACAGTACCCACAGTCCAGGAGGCGGGGCTTCTGAGATACCTAGAAACAGCTTAGAGGCAAAATGGCAAAACAAAGCAGCACCAACAAATAAAACCAAGCTTCTCAAACTGGCTCTCACCTGGGCCTAACTAATTATGCGCCACTTGAATAACTATATCAAGTTCCCTGGAGTCTGCTTTTACTTTAAAATGCTGTTGTAGGATTGAGTCATCCATTCCTTATCTTGTCCAATGTATTGTTCATATCTTGTAATCAATTTGTGACTAAAAGTAGTGACAAGCCATTTACAATGCCAGAAATCAAATTTTATATTAGTTAGAGTCAGGTTTGGCTCTAAAAAATAAATAATAATGAATGTGATAACTTGGATGAAATGGCCAAATCTGTTAAGAAATGAGAACTACCAAAATTCACTAAAGAAAAAATTTGTAACCGTGTATAGTCCTCTATCTATTTGAAAGCAGGAATTACAGTTCAAAACCTTCATACAAAGGCTACCAAATATTTAAGAAAGAAATAATACCAACTATACACAAATTTTTCAATAAAATTAAAGGGGGGGGGAGACTTCCTAACTAATTCTGTGAGGCCAGCATTAATTTGATCTCAAAACTAGACAAAGATCTTATACTTAAAGAAAATACAGACCAATATTTCAGATGAGTATAGATTTAAAATTATGAACAAAATGTCAGCAAATCAAGTCCCAAAGTACATAAATATATCATGATCAAGTATGGTTTATTTCAAGAGTACAAGGCTGTTTTAACTTTCAAAATCTATCAATATAATTCATTATAACAAAATAATAAAATAATTCACAGAAAAAACATATTATTATGTCTATAGTTTTAGAAAAAGAATTTGAAAAAATCCAAAGTGTTATTGATAAAACGCTCATTAAATTAGAAATAAAACTTTCTTAACCTAATAAAGGGTATTTATTTTTAAAAAGTATATCCAACATAATTCTTTTTTTTCAGATGGAGTCTTGCTCTAAATTAGAAATAAAACTTTCTTAACCTGATAAAGGGTATTTATTTTAAAACCTTATATCCAACATAATTCTTTTTTCTTTTTTTTGAGATGGAGTCTTGCTCTGTCACCCAGGCTGGAGTGTTGTGGTGCAGTCTTAGCTCACTGCAACCTTCGCCTCCCGGGTTCACAATTCTACTGCCTCAGCCTCCAGAGTAGCTGGGATTACAGGCACCTGCCACCACGCCTGGTTACTTTTTTTGTGTTTTTAGTAGAGACGGAGTTTCACCATACTGACCAGGCTGGTCTCGAACTCCTGTCCTTGTGATTTGCCCTCCTCAGCCTCCCAAAGTACTGGGATTACAGGCATGAACTACCGTGCAAGGCCAAACATAATCCTTAAATGTAATAAGAGTGTCAGTTTATGGTTAAAGACTGTATGGCTTCCCAATAAGATCAGGAACAGGGCAAAGATATCCATTTTCACCACTCGTATCCAACTTTGTACTAGAATTTCTAACCTGTACAAACAAGCAAGACAAAGAAATAAAATGTGTCTAGATTGAAAAGGAAAACCATTGTTTATTCACAGAAAACATGATTGTCTATGTAAAAATCCTATGGAATCTCAAAAAAATAAAAGTCATGAGAACAAATAGGGGAGCTTACCAATGTTGCTGAATGTAAGTTATATAAAATCAGTTGTATTTCTACGCATTAACTAACAATGAGAAATTTAAACTTTTTAAGAAATCACATTTACAATAGAATCAGAAAAAAATTACTTTGAAATAAATCTGTGAAAAAATGTAAAATACCTATACACTGAAAACTAGAAAATATTGCTGAGAGAAAATTAAAGGAGACCTACATAAATGGGGACATATACTACTGTATCTTCATAGATCAAAAGATTCAGTATCGCTAAGGTGTCAGTCCTCTCTACACTGACCTACAGATTCCAAACAATCTGAATCAAAACTCCAGCAGGCATTTCTGCAGAAATTAACAAGCTGATTCAAAAATTCATGTGGAATGCAAACAACCTATAGAAGCTAATTCCAATAACTTTGAAAAAGAATATATTGAGAGGACTTACATTACCTGATATCAAGACTTATTACAAAGCTACAATAACCAAGAGAGTCTTGAATTTGAGTATTGATTGACATAAAGACAAACAGAACAGAACGGAGTCTCAGAATAAACCCATTTGTGCTGGTCAATTTATTTTCCACAAAGTTGCAGTCAGGTCAGTGGAGAAAGAATGGTGTCTTCAACAAATGATGCTGAAACAATTGGACTTTATTATGAATTCTAAAGAGTTGTAATTCATAATTCACACCATACACAAAAATTAGTCAAAAAGGATCATAAACTTAAATGCAAATATTAAACTATAAAACCTTCAGAAGAAAACAAGGGGAAATCTGTAATCTGGGAGCAAGACAACAATTTCTTACCAACCACAACAAAAGCCTAGGAGAAATATAGTCAACTGGATTTTGTCAAAATTAAGAGCTCTCAAAAGACATTTCTAAGGGAATGAAAAGATAAGCCATAGACTAAGAGAAATTATTTGAAAATAACTTTTCTGATAAAAGATCTACCAAATGTATTCAGAACATTTAAAGAACTCTCAAAATTCTGTAAGGAAAAGCAACCCTAGTTTTTAAAAATGGCAGAATATCTTAACACAGAGATCATCAAAAAATATATATGCAGAAGGCAAACAAGCATGTGAAAAGATATTCAACATCAATATTTATTAGGAAAATGTAAATTAAAACCTCAATGAGATCCCACTATACACATTTGACAATATCTAAAATCAAAAAGACTGATCACCTCAAGCATTGATGAGGATTTACAACAATTGAGATCTCATGGACTGCTGGTGGAAATTGGCAATGTTACAGTCACCTTAGAAAAGAGTTTGGAGGTTGGGCATGGTGGCTCACACCTGTAATCCCAGCACTTTGGAGGCTGAGGTGAGAGGATTGCTTGAGCGCAGGAATTTGAGACCAATCTGGACAACATTGGGAGACCCCGTCTCTAAAAAAAATAAAATAAAAAAATTCATTAGCCAGGCATGTTGGTACATGCCTGTAGGCCAAGCTACTCAGGAGGCTGAGGTGTGAGGATTGATGGAGCCTGGGAGGCTGAGGCTACAGTGAGCCAAGATTGCACCACTGCACTCCAGCCTGGGCAACAGAGTGGGACCCTGCCTTATAAAAGAAAGAGAAGAGCTTGATAATTTCTTAAAAAGTGTTAAACTCGTACCTGCTATATCACACGATCATTTCACTCCTAGGTTTCATCCAGGATAAACAAAGCATATGCCCACACAAAGACATATACGTGAATATACATAGCAACTTTATTTAGAACAGCCAAAAACTAGGAACCATCCACATGTCCATCAAAAAGTTAATGGATAATGGAATTCCACTCAGCAATAAAAAAGAATGAACTATTATTGAAACACTCAATGAGAGGTTTGAATCTCAGAATAATTATGCTGAGTGAAAGAAGCCATATCTCTCCCAAAAAAGTACATCTTGTATGATTTCATTTATATTAATGTCTAGAACATTCCAGCTACTATATAGTGACAAGAAGCACACCAACAGCTGCTGTGTGGGGAGACAGGGAGGTAAGGGAGATGGGTGAGCAAGGGGCATGAGGAAACTTCTGAGAGTGGTGGAAATGTTCACTACCTTGATTGTGGTGATCGCTTCTTGAGTGTATACATTTATCAAAAAAGTATACATTTATCAAACTAACTTCAAATATGTGTAGTTAGTTTGTATGTCAGTACACCTCAATAAAGCTATTTTAAGTCACCTTATTAATGAGGGCTTCTCTGAATAACCCCCTCACTTAAAATTACAACATTGCCCACCTACCCCACCTGTCTCTTCCTTAATTTTTCTCCATAGATTTTATCATTTTCCAGTATAATGTATGTTACTTACTAATTTTGTTTATATCTGTCTCCTCCTGCCCATGCCATTGAACTGTGAGCTTCCTGAGGGTAGGATTGTTTTCTGTTTTCTTGCACAATGTGTTCCTAGCAACTAGAAGAGAATCTCAGTGAAGGAATGAATGATGAAGGCTTCTTTGCCTCTCTAGCTTCCCATGAGCTCTCTCAGATCCTCTTCTTTTTTATAACACAGACGGAGTTCTCATGCCTAAACACATAAGATAATAGAAAGAAAGCAGGAAATATGCATGTATTCTATTCATGATTCCCTATTAATTATGGGAGTCATTTAGCCTTTCTGGGTTTCAATTTCCTCATTTATAGAAAGAGAAATAGATGATCTCTATGATCTAAATGTTTGTTATGTATAATGTGCACTTCTCAAAATTAACCTACAGATCCATTCAAAGTGGGAGACTTAGTAATGTTTAGCATACACATGTACACAGTAGATTTATATGAGCTGACTTGGAAAAATACACATGTCAAAAAATAAGTAAAAAGAGATGCTGTCAAACGATATGCATAGTGTGACCCAACACACGGAAACACTATAAAACTAGACCTACCCATGCATGTCCAGTGGGACACAGAGGCCCGGGGAACAGGTGGGGTGACGGCTGCGCAACTGCCAGCTGTGGTTACCTTTGGGATCAGAGGGAAGGAAAAGGGAGTTTCACTTTTTACTTTGCATGCTTCAAAACAAGAGCAGTGAAGCTATTATAAAAGAGATATTTTTTGTATTTATGCTTTTTTCCAAATTGTGTATATACATAAAACTATTTTTTAAAAGCATTTTTAATTAAAACTCTTACTCCTGACCTCAAATATCCACATCTACTTGGAAAACCTCTCTAACTTCGACTGCAGAATGAAAGGCTGTTATCGTTATTTCCCTGGGCCTGCAAATCACACTGAAACTAATAGTGTTCCAAATCTGTGCCAAGCTCACTGCTGAGCTGCATTTAGCACGTTCCCTACAGTGCCCTTACTCTATAGTAAAGCTAAGTTTCCTCATCCCGAAGAAAAGATATAACTTCTGCACTAAAGTGGACAAGACAGAGAGCAAAAGAGAATCACTGAAGAAGAAAAGAATGGAAAGGGTCCTGATCTGTGATCTTGAGAGCAAAGATTTCCCATTTTTTATGATT